GAACAAAAAAGAAAGAAAAACGCTGCTATTATGTTATTCAATTTGAGGGTCTGCTATTCTGTAACGAGTGCTGGCTGTCTAAGGAGCGCACAACACAGGAGTAGTCCAATAAAGTATTTTATTATAATCCATAAAGCAAACACAAGGAATCGAGGAGCTGGGATAGCACAACACGTAGACCAAAATACAAATAATAACAGACAGGGAACTAAGGAACAGCTCTCCATCTGCGGTGGAGTCAGGCAATTGCTCCGTGCCGCTGGATGACGGCTGGCTGGTCTCTGGGTCGGGAGTGGTGCTGGAGATTCCTTCCTTAGCGGGGGAAAAAGGGAAAAACAGTCCATTTCTCTCCAGCACCCACTCCACGAAAGCAGCGAAACCCTCCTCGGGGCCATTCACTGGCAGACGTGCCTTACACCTCTCGCTCAGGCTGGTGTAAGGCACGCCAGATCTAAAAAGTCCAGGGTATGGTCCTCCAGCGAACGATCCTCTTGCCTGTTGCTCCAGGCACAGGAATTGGACAGCCAGTAAATCCATTCCGGGAGAGGGGAGAAACAAAAACAAAAAAAGAAAGAAAAATGTCGCTATTACGTTACTCAATTTGAGGGTCTGCTATTCTGTAACGAGTGCTGGCTGTCTAAGGAGCGCACAACACAGGAGTAGTCCAATAAAGTATTTTATTATAATCCATAAAGCAAACACAAGGAATCGAGGAGCTGGGATAGCACAACACGTAGACCAAAATACAAATAATAACAGACAGGGAACTAAGGAACAGACAGGGCTTATAAACACAGGGACTAATGGGATAATTAATGACACATCAATGGGAACTATGGTGGGAACTATGACCTGATCAAGACAGGCAAAACTAGGTCACGGTGAGCAAAGCAAAAAACAACGGAAACATGACGTGACAATTTGGCTCATTTTGCTATCACGCGTATACATTGCGATCAGTTCGGGCGGTAACAATTCAATTCAATTCAAGTTTATTTGTATAGCGCTTTTCGCGATACAAATCGTTGCAAAGCAACTTTACAGCAAATTAAGTTTCTACAATATTTAGTAGTAGCTTATCAGTGGTGGTTGTCAGTTAATGTACATATGGCAGAAATGTACGAAAAAATCAATGACGATGAACACTATTAACAGCAATTATTATATGATGCAATCAAACTTATAGCAAAATGCGGTAGTTCTGTATGTTGTTTCAGGGTTGGCATCTGATGTCCTCTGAGGGGTTGGCATCATCTCTTCTCAGGTGTTCTGGATCCAGACTGAAGCTTGTGTAAATCCTAGTTACAAAACAGAGGCAAAAACAGAGAAACAAATAGAAACATAATTAGCGTAGCTGCTGTTCCAACCAAGCAAAGTTGATTTGTTACACATGTAACAACATGTTGTAACATATGACATACACTGTTATGCATCGCTTTATCATATATTTACATATTATTTGACTAAGACTACATGACAAAAAACTTTATTGATTTGATTTCAGTGTCACCAAATTAACAAAATGAACTGCGAGAGGAGAACTTGGCTATAGGCCTATTGTTTTTAATGGGGTAGGCTAAATGATGTCCTGACATGAATCTGTTGACAATACACTCAACACAATCTATTGAAACCACAAAACCTAAAACGAATGCTCATAAATACCTTTATTTGTCTTATATTTAATTTTTATTTACTTAGACAGTGCTTATAGCATAGTGCTTATAAAAAAAAATTTTTTTTTTAAAAAGCCTACCTTTAGCCTTAAAGAAGAGATATAGCAGCAACAAATAAAATGAAAATATATTATAGTTTAAATTTATATTAAATGTGATTATATATTAACTTTAGAGTGCTTATATGCCTAATATATCCGTATATGCTTATATGCCTAATATACATATAATATCCTTATATGTAATTTCATAATTACTTATATATATGTCATATATTTGTAATTATGCATTTATGACAACGTTGGAGATTAGTATATTTAAAATATCCCTAAATGTAATATTGAATAACATATACTTTACATATACTTTAGTAGGCCTATGTTAGTCAACACATCAAAATACGCATACTTCTTTAACACACTCCAAAAGATTATTAAAAGCACTAATATGTACCTTTATGTACAATTTAAGGATAAATAAGATACAAAGATTTAGTACATTTAGCTATTGTATCTTAGAGTGCACACCAGTGACAGCTTTTTTGTGAGAGTGTAAAGTCAGTAAACAAACACACAAAACATACAGAGTAAAATAAAGCTAAAACTGACAAAGCATATGAAAATGTTCAGTATTGGAGGAAGACAAAATAGGAAGGTTTCATAAAGTAAAATTATGATTATTATGGCATGATTCAGAGGAAATTATAAGCAGATGTGATTAATCGAAGTCGTAGCTCCTTGCAGTGACTGAACTGTAAGTGCTGTGGTTGCAGCTTAGACCAGACTGAGTTTTCATGCTGCACCACTCAGGCTGGTTTATGCTGGTTTGGTGCTAGTCCACCTGCTGGACTGTTGAACTGCTGAAGCTGGTTAAGCTAATTAAAAAGCTAAAAATATCAAACAGGTGAGCAGGTATCCTTATCTGTTCATTAAGGAAATGTGTGTGAGTGTGATTCATGCACTGTATATTTTTAATCAGTTTGCTTGTAATTCAATACAGTCCTGCTAATATTGTTGGCTCCTTTAATGAATTGCTTGTGCTTCTCTTCATTTCACTTTGCATCAAAGCATCTACTAAGTGAATATTTCTAGTCAGTATTAGTGAGAAAAACAGGATCCAAAAAGGAAATGGAGTTCGCCTCAGAAAGCCTTTATTCACCCCCCCCGGAGTCGTGTGGAGTACCTTTCATGATGGATGGCTGCGCATTTTTGGGCTTCAAAATCTCAACCCCCATTCACTGCCATTATAAAGTTTGGAGAAGCCAGGGCATTTTTTAATTTAACTCAGACTGTATTTGTCTGAAAGCAGAAAGTCACATACACTTAGGATGGCTTGAGGGTGAGTCACACACAACTCCTATAAAAAAAAAAGTGGCTCCTTCCTCCTCCTCCTCCCACTCCTTCCTGCTCGTTATAAAGAGTTCATCCTACAGTTTCAATGTCAGTGAAGCATACATCATTTCAGTTCAAATCCCTGCATCTTATTCACAGACTAAATACAGCCTGAAAATGTTACCACTTACTCGCTGTCAGCCATTGTCTGGCTGCATTTCCATTTATACATTTGCCTCAAGATTAATGGCCATGCAAAACACAGCCAGAGCTCATTTTGTGGGCATTTACACAGACAATATACACAAATAAATAATGCTTCTGAACGTCACAATTAATTCTCAGCAAATTCCCCTTTAGCTTTTCTTTGCCGCCAGATATTTTACTACTCACTTGTGTAAAAGAAGTGTGCTTAATTGTATTGAATCATGTGCACTTCCAATTTTTTAAGTATTTTAAAAAAGCTGTACTTGCAGAAAAATAATATTAATGAAATATAAGCCCACTTAAGTGTATTTAAAGAGAGACACTTTCATGACTGTTTCTTAACACACTTAAATACACTTTTAAACAGTGCACTTTGTAAATGCCAAATTAAACATTTCAATTTAATGTATATTTAAAATCATTGTTTAATAAACTTTTATTCTGCTTTAAGGAAGTACACTCATTTGATGTGTTGAATAACATACTAAAGCACATGTAAAGTACATGATTATAATTTTATCTCTTGTGTGTTTATTCAGTATTACATTTAAATTTAATATATTTGAAATGGACTAAATTGCAGCTTCATAATTGTAAATGTCTAATCACAAATATATTTAAATTCACAACATACAAGTTTTAATAGGTTAAAGTATATTTTCGTTTGTCATAAATGTTTGTCAGTACATTCAGCAGTGCATTTTAACCATATTTCAAAGACTATAGATTTAATGCAATTAAGTGTCTGAAAACATTACATTCAGTTCACACATAAGTATATTCATTTAAAGTATATTATTTACATAAGAAGTACTTAAAAGTATGTGAAAGCGTACTTATTTTTCACAATGAACTGTTTGTGGCATTTACCATCAACCACGCATTCACAGATAAATAATTCTAAACAGTTGAACCGAAATCTAAAGTTGAGTTCAAGCTAGAAGTAACAATGAAATTATATAAAAATATGTGCATAAGTCTACTGCCTGTGATGCTTTCAGGTAGCGACTAGTCAGCGAAACTGCGAGTGATTGGCTTAAAGGGATAGTTCACCCAAAAATGAAAATTTGATGTTTAGCTGCTTACCCCCAGGGCATCCAAGATGTAGGTGACTTTGTTTCTTCAGTAGAACACAAATGATGATTTTTAACTCCAGCCGTTGCAGTCTATCAGTCGTATAATGCATGACAATGTTAACAAAATCTATGAGAGTAAAAAAAACATGCACAGACAAATCCAAATTAAACCCTGCGGCTCGTGACGACACATTGATGTCCTAAGACACGAAACGATCGGTTTGTGCCAGAAACCGAACAGTATTTATATCATTTTTTACCTCTAATACACCACTATGTCCAACTGCTTTGAGCGCGCGCACGGCATCCGGTGCGTGAGGTGTGTACGCGCTCTGGCGTAGTTTACACAAGCGCCGGAAGTGATCTCTCGCGCATATACGTCACTCATTGTTTACACAGTGCACAGTCATTGTAGGTACGACGGCTAATCAAAATGGTACTTGGTTACTTGCGCTTATCCAGATTGTTCAAACTGACTTAAAACTAAAAGATTATGTTCTCTCGCGTGAACTCATTCGGGAATTATACGACTGATAGACTGCAACGGCTGGAGTTAAAAATCATCATTTGTGTTCTACTGAAGAAACAAAGTCACCTACATCTTGGATGCCCTGGGGGTAAGCAGATAAACATCACATTTTCATTTTTGGATGAACTATCCCTTTAAGTGGCTTTTATACATCAGTCTCTTGTCTCTTTCACTCCTCCTCATGGTTTATTTCTTTCAGGCCGTTCCTCATGCTCTGTTGGCTAAGCGTGTGGCTCTGGAGCAGACAGCAGCAGCAGGATGTCTGTTTAACCGCGGCCCACCTGGTCAGCCCACCACTGCAGACGGCCACAGCATTACTCCCTACACAGGTACATTCACTCCAACACACTCACACAGACACAAATTCCATTATGTTTTTTATTGTTTCCTATGTGTTCCCTGCCTAAAAAGTTCCCATGATGCTCGGTGCACCAGCTGTTCCTGCTGTCAGCCCTTATGTTGCTGCTGCCACAGCAAACGCCAGTCAGGTTTGTTCATTTACTTTCCCACTAACCCACCCTGAACTTCCACCTAAACCATCTGTTCAGATCAGCTGTTGTCTATCACCTGAGAAAACGTTTCCCTCTCAGTTTTCAGTTTTAAATTATTTCTTCTGAAAAAGTCGTCAAGTTTAAACGTTCAATAGTTTTTTAAAGTTCTTAAAGTATGTTTTCATAGTACATCAATCTCTTTCATCTAAAAAAAAAATCAAACAAAAGTCACTTTAAATATCATAGTTCAAATAAATATTAAGAAATATTATTAGTTAATTTGTTTTTACACCCTGTTATGTATATTTACATCTTGTTTCTTTTTCATGTTCTGTGTACATGTGATGTTCACAAAAGATACATTGGCTTTGGTCTGTAATATGTTTTATTTAAGCACTAGTGGAGGAGGATGAGTTCTGCAAATGATCTTTCTCTTTGTTTCTTTAACAGATAATCCTAAAGTAAAGTGCAGAATATGGACCCAGTGCTAATATAAATACACATGAATGAAACTTGTTCATTGTCAACACTTCTGGGTTAGAAATATTTTCTTTTTGGTATATACAGGGTGATTTAAAAATCTGACTGAATAAAATGCTACTGATTTGTATTTTTATTTTTCAATTTTTATACAAAATTGTATAAACTACATAACCATGTTATATTAGCCAAAATACCATTAATTCTAATAAAGCACTTTTTTTTGGCTTTAATGGCAACAGCACTCAATATCAAAAATTTATATATTTAATTAGTGATCTAGAAAAAGTGCAAGTATTATATCAAATAATATTACTGTCACGTCACGTTTCTGTTGTGTTTTGCTTTGCTCCCCGTGACCTAGTTTTGCCTGTGTCTCGATCAGTTCATTGTTCCCACCTGTTGTGTCATTAATTATCCCATTAGTCCCTGTGTTTATAAGCCCTGTCTGTTCCTTAGTTCCCTGTTATTATTAGAAAAAGTGCAAGTATTATATCAAATAATATTACTGTCACGTCACGTTTCTGTTGTGTTTTGCTTTGCTCCCCGTGACCTAGTTTTGCCTGTGTCTCGATCAGTTCATTGTTCCCACCTGTTGTGTCATTAATTATCCCATTAGTCCCTGTGTTTATAAGCCCTGTCTGTTCCTTAGTTCCCTGTCTGTTATTATTTGTATTTTGGTCTACGTGTTGTGCTATCCCAGCTCCTCGATTCCTTGAGTTTGCTTTATGGATTATAATAAAAGGATTTATCAGACTACTCCTGCGCCGTGCGCTCCTTAGACAGCCAACACGTGTTACAATTACTTTGATTTGTTTTTTCCAAAATCCGAAAAACTGTTAATTTCCGTGTTTAAATGGGAAAAATTACATATTTTTAATGTGGTCTCAGACATTTATGCTGCCTTCACGTGCTATCGGAATTATCGTAAATACAAGGTTTCTAATCGGAAATTAGACGTGAACGCCTCTCAAGTCGTATTTACTACTGGGAAATTTTGGAAATAATTTTGATACCAGAGTTTCTGAGTTGGGCGGGTCATAATCTTAAACATGGTGGAGGGGACAACCATTGCTGCTGTCAATGCTGTTCTCACAACAACTACATCACTTTGTCTTGTCGCTAAAGTAGTGTATTTATAGGCTAGATATGAACGATCATTCGAAGCATATTGTGTTTTATAAGCAGTGATATAAGCATGTATTTGACCGAAATTCCAGAATTGTCAGCAAACTGCATGTGTAGCGCGGTGAATGTTTATGATAGTCAACCAATGGGATGCTACATTTTATTCTTTCCGACATTAAAGCACTTGAATACGACAAGCTCGTAATCACGACTTCATAAATAGGAAATTTCCGATAGCACGTGAAGGCAGCATTAGACCTCATTGTATATTTTAATGAAAAACTGCAGTTATTTAATAGGCTAATATGCCTAAATCTTTCCTACTGTGTTTTAATACCTGTTATGTCAGATGGCAGTTTGTAAAGGCTTTCCTCATCAGACTACAGACACTGCAGTGTGTTTAGTGGATGTTGGATGCATGTCCGCTGCAGTGGTGCAGAAGAGCTCTCTCTTATACCAACAGCGCAATCTACTGCCATGCTGCGGCAGGCACTACATTAGCTTGTAGTACAGAGCAAATGGGATAGTGGTACAAATTAGCCCTTTAAATGTTAATCTAATGAAGACAGTGACTCTTGACTGTTTTAGGGCATTTGTTGTATTTGGTTAGTTAGAGTAAGCTGAGAGTATACTGTAACTTGACCATGGTTGGGTGTGTATTTATTTTGTTCCACTCTGCTACTTTGTTTTGTCCTTGGATAACTGGCAATAAATTTGGAATAATTCATATATTTAAAGCATTGGTGTCCAAACTCCTGTCATGCAGAGATTAGCTCCAACCCTAAACCTAAACCACCTTATCAAGGTATTACTAGGCATACTAGACATGTCCAGCCAGGTGTGCTGAGGCAAGTTGGAGCTAAACTCTGCAGGACAGTGGCCCTCCAGGACCGAGTTTGGACACCCCTGATTTTAAGGGTGTGTTCACACTTGTAGTTCGGTTCTCTTGGTTCGTTTGGTCCGGACCAAAAAAGAAAACGATACATTTGGTCCTGGTTTGCTTAGCGTTCAAACTGGCATTTTCAAAAGCAAACCTAAAGATACCCACCCTAAAGGCATAGTGATACGTCCACAACCTGATTGGTTGGGTTGAATGATGTACATTTCTTGACTGAACCCAAACAATAGGTGTATTCGACTTAAAGCGGCGCTACGCAGACCGATTGTTGTACTTTAGGACATCAAAATACCCATTCACCGATCGGTCTGCTCAGCGCCGCTTTAAGCCGAATACATCTAATGCTGTCTGCTAGACTAAACGCGCTCATAGTTGCATGTACATTTTTTTTTGTCATAAGTAGCATGGGTATATTTGTAGCAATAGTCAACATTGTATGGGTCAAAATTATTGAATTTTTTAAAGCCAAAAATCATTAGGATATTAAGTAAAGATCATGTTCCATGAAGATTCTTTGTAAATGTACTACTGTAAATATATCAAAACTTAATGTTTGATTAGTAATATGCATTGCTAAGAACTTAATTTGGACAACTTTAAAGGCGATTTTCTCAATATTTAGATTTTTTTGCACCCTCAGATTCCAGATTTGAGATTGAGATTCAGATTGACTTGACTTTGGCATAGAAGTGCATCTTGTAATTACATCCTGTTTTTGGTTCGTTTAGAAGTATTTAGTCCGTGTTTTTATATTTCATTCGAACCGCACCAGAGTTCATCTGGAAGCGGACGAGACCCATCTTTTTAGTGGTCTCGGTCCGCTTGTTTGGTGCACACCAGGGTTCGGATGGCAGCGTTCACATTTACTCAAAGGAACTGCACTTCGTTTTAATCGAACCAAACATGTGAACACACCCTTAAACAAACTCTGGTGCGATTGCTCAGTTAGCGCGGTTCATTTGAGTAAGTGTGAACGCTGTCAAAAATGCCAGTGTGAACGGTAAGTGCACCAGGACCAAATTTACCGTTTTCTTTTTTGGTCTGGACCAAGTGAACCAAGAGAATAGAACTACAAGTATGAACGCACCCTAAAGCAAATGTATGTGCAGTAGTTTTGTATATTTTTGTGACTTTGGAGCCCCCTACAGTTAAGTGAGTGGAATTGTCGCTACAGTGAATATCTGCACACATTTCTGCCATAAAGGAACCCGCCCTTTTCACAGAATATTGCATCTGCTCACCAAACACATACTAATAAAACAAATGTTTGGAGGGAAAGTCTCGAAAGAAAACAGAAGCCATTCGCCTTATTAGAAGTCAGTGTACCATCTGAATGATTTTGAAACTGATATTGTAATGTAAAAATTGTAGCTACAGAATTTTAGCTCATGGTGAGATGAATTAAAGCCCAGCAGGGTTATTGTGTACTGTACTAATGTTCTTTGAAATAATAAAAATGCCAGAATCTTTTAGGTTAATAGTGGACAGTTTACTAACTTTTCTGTTTGTATTTTTATATATATATATATATATATTTAAGTTTAGTGCAATTCAATAAAAACATTCCACCACAACCATCAACAAGTTACTTGCTTTACAAATACATGTTTTTTGTTTCGTCTGATTGTGGTTGTTATTCAACAAACAACTTCAAATACATTTAAATGGAAGGTGAACAATGGAAAGTGTTAAATCTGAATTGTTTTGTGGTGTAAAATAAAAAAAGCATTAACATGTGGAATGTTACAACTGTGACTGAGTGATTTAAAATCTTGGTGTTTCATTTATGTGACAATTTTTGTTTTGGGATTTTACTCTGCCTACTGTTGGTGAAACACTTGGGCTGTCTATATGCTATATAGATTATTATTCTGAATTTAAAAGAATATGCGAGCTTATTTTCATTTTATATTATTCTTATGCCATTATAAATTGACAGCCATTTTTATAAAGAAAATGTTTAATGAACTCTTGACTTTTTAAGACTGTTAACTCTTAATTGATTACATTGTGTTTTGCTCTTGACCTTTTCAGACTGTTTTGTTAAACTTTAATGATCACATTATGTTTGCTCTTTTAGTCTGAATATTGTATTTTTTTATGTAACGTTAGCCTAGCCTATAGCCTAGGCCTAACAGCCTACCTCAATAAAAAAAACTGAAATTGTCCGTTTTATTATCATCTTAAAATGACACAAAGTGACATTTTATATTACATAGACACGTTCAGAACACAGATGTCCTGGAAAACCAAACCACAGCACTAACCGGGGGTCACTATAATGTCAGTGAAACCAGTTATTAGCGAGCCGAACCACCTACGCGCGCCGCATATACCGCGTGTTTCCATAGCAACAACATCCGCCGCAACTCTTGAAACCTTGCGCGCGCAGCCGCCACTGTTGGGGCGGGGGTTTTCGCCCAAACATTTCCTTACGTCAATGACAACCGGCTAGTTTTGACTCAAGCGGAAACTCGGTGTGCTCGGTGTCTGAGCGCAGTTTCCGGCAGCCGGCCGGTGTTCCGGCTATTGGGCACCTCACGGATCCGTTAACCGACGAGAGCGCTGGCTTCGCCTTCTGTACGGAAGCCGAGATGGAAGAGGCGTAAACATGTCCGGTTTGAGCGAATCGCCCTATTGAGTTGGATCTTTTAAATGAATCATTTAAACCGTTTCACAACAGGGAACGATTTCTTTACTGAATCAATCCAAGCCGTTATCGAGTCAACAACTCTCCGACTCGTATGAACTTTTCAGCGTGAATTGAATGTTTGTATTGTTTAATGTAGGCTACATTACAATCATGGCGGCATTAAATACATACATGAAATTATTAAGACTAAAAGGTTATAGGCCTTATTGGAACGTATTGCTACCTATATATAGACCATAGACTATATAAGAAACAGAATTGGACAAAATTAACGATCATTTACAGAAAATGTCACGCGTGCCACCAGAAAGACAATACAATTTTGGTTGGACCTAACTGGCACTTTATCAGACCTCTTGAAATCCTGAGATGTACTTGTTATCCCGCGAATATTGTTTTGTAATATTGTAGCCTATTTGTTAAAGCCTGTTTATTAAATAAACTATCCAAAAAAAAAAAAAAGAAAGAAAGAAAGAAAATTTCACATGTAACAAACAAGAGGAAACACACACAAAAGGACGAACATAAGCTGAATAAATAAAATAAATTTTAAACTATCCAAAAAAAAAAAAAAAGAAAGAAAGAAAGAAAATTTCACATGTAACAAACAGGTAACAAACAAGAGGAAACACACACAAAAGGACGAACATAAGCTGAATAAATAAAATAAATTAAAATAAATACAACTGTAAATGTTTTAGTAATAAAAATAAATAGACAAATAAATAAATAAACAAATAGTTTAGCTAGATAAAATGAAAATTGATAAGCAAAGGAAAGCTAGGCTATATGTTTCTTCCACGTTGAAACTTTTATGTATTTGTGTATTTATTTTACATTTTTTCAACTGTAGCACAGTTTTTATTCTGTGGTGGAAACAACTTGCATAGTCTATCTGAATGTGTTTTCCCTGGCTTATTAATAATCTTCTCTTATGGTCTTTGCCTAGTATTTTGTCTTCTAAGTGTCTATACTTTGCTCCCCTTGTTTTATTGACATATTTATTTAGTTATTTATATTACAGGGGCTATAGCCTACTCTTATTTGTGTTTATTTGTGCCGATCTCTATATTTTTATTTGACTCTTTTTTGAACCTCTGTACAGCACTTTGGTCAGTCGTGTGGCTGTTTTATATAAATAAATTGAACTTGAACTACATATAAATAAAATCCAGTCTGGTGAACCAGCAGAGCTTCCAGGACATCAAGCCCATGAGAGACCAGATCATCCGAGTCAAGAGGTGAGATGGGACCGATAACCGTCTCGAATTAGGGTGTCGGAGCTTCGCTGTTGGTGACATGTCATTGCATACGATGAAAATGATCTTAACACATCTGACAGCATGTTCAGAATCGGCCAGTGTGTGTGTGTGTGTAGTTGGGCCTCTCTACAGGCCTGTTGCTCGAGCCTTGATGTGCCGCATCCAGTGTTCAAACAAGAGTCATGCTCAAGTGATGCGATGCGCTTCACTGCTGCTCTAAACCTGATCCACGCTTCAAATGCTGCTCTCATTTATTTAGGAAACATTGTAATGACTTTGTGATGAATATTATTAGTGGTCGACCGATATGGGTTTTTTGACAGCTGATGCCGATATCTTGGAAAGCAGGGTGGCCGATATAAAGCCGATATCATTTTATTTATTTATAATTTATATTTTAGAAATTTGAAATCATTTGAAAATGGATTAAAAATAATTGTGTAAAATAAACATACATATACTTTAGAAGACAAAGCATTTGTCACAAATAAATAAATATTTAATAAAAATATCATTAAAAAGGAAGTAAACACGGTAACCAACAGGGCACTCCGTATTCTGGGAAGTTTGTGTGAATCATTTTTAATTTATTTTTTCTTCAAATAAAGCTAAGGTAACACTCATTTACAGCACGCAATGAAAATGACATGAATATGACAGTGGGCAAATGCGCAAAAAAGACAAAAAAAATGAAGAAGAAGAAGTTCATATTGTTCCAAGGAACCAGCTATCCCTAAATATTAAGGACCAGGTGATGACCTAATTACGTCATGACGTAAAAGAATCAGTGAGTCGTCCTTGAACTGATTCCTTCGAACGAACTGCATAAAGTAACCGGTTCGACAAAATGACTCGGACTTCACAATAGTGGAGCGGCGCGGCGGAGGATTATCGTTCTTGGTGTGAACGGGGCTTAAGTCTGCTAAGTTTGTGAAATTAAATGTTCATTAGTCATTCAAAGATTTGTTTAAATGATGTAAATGCGTGTTTGCTGAATGCTGACGGCAAACGAGAAAGTATTATAATGTTTGCCTTTATATTACTAATAATATTAAAGCAATTATAAATACTAATAATATTAAAGCAATAATTATAATACTTTTTTGTATACATTTTAATTCCTTTGTTTAACAGTTCTATCTGATTATTAGATAGACTTCTATCCATATTAGACAGAACTGAACAACGACAGCCAACAAGAGGGAGAATGTGAGCGGTGTGCGCTCAGGCGCTGCAACTGCCGTTCTCCGCGCCGTCAAAATAAAAGTCCACCGTGCCCTCAAACAGAAAAACTTATCGGCCGATGCCGATATTTGAAAAATGCCAAATATCGGCCGATATATTGGTCGACCACTAAATATTA